TTCACACATGATATTACTCTTTAATAATTGTTATTTATTTTAAAAATTGTTATTTGAGTTAGGCCTGCTTGAACAGTTCTGGGCTTACATTTGGATAGGAGAAACTTGAACGTTTACGTCCCTTTTTGTGAGAGGACTGAGAAGTCTACTCTACTTTCTTCAACTTCTGTGAGAAGTATAAGACAGCTTTGCTGCTGTGTGGTTTGTGGCTGTGGCGAGAGCCCTGACCATGAGTAAGGTGTGCTGATGTCATCACTGGATATGATATTCTCAGAGCTTGGGGGAGAAAAAACTGTCCCACCTTAACACATTGGTTCTTGTTTGCTAATGAAGGAAAAATAAAAAAAAAACCAGAAAGCACATAATTGTTGCCCACGTGGTTTTCTAAAACACAAGCCTGATGAGGTCATCTCTTTCTCAAGATCCGTCAGGGTTCCCAAGGTTAGTGTCTTCTAGTTGATTTTCAACTTGTAGTTACCCTGGATGACAGACTAGAACTGTCTCCCAGTCTGTAATCTTTACAGGAGCAAATTCCCATGTCCTTCCCTCTCAGAACAGCTGGATGGGCTTGAACTGCCAACCTTTCAATTAGAGAGCTGCTAAATATTGCTTGATAAATGACAACCAAGGAGCCCCCGTGGTGCAGAGGTTAAACACTTAGATGTGAATTGAAAGGGTTATGATTTGAACCCATCAGCAGTTCTGTAGGAGGAGAGACCTGGTCATTTGTTTTTGTAAAGATTGCCCATTGTTCTGGAGTTGATTCCAACTCATTGTGACTCTATAGAATAGAATAGAATAGAATAGAATAGAGTTTGGGACCGTTCTGCTCTGTCCTTTAACATTAGTATGAGGTTTGAGACATCAATTGTGTAAAGAGCATTTGTACATTCATTGCCCTCATCATTTTCAAAACATTTCCTCTCCACTTAAGCCCATTAGGTCCTCATTTTTCCCCTCCATTCCCCGCTACCCCCTCCCTCATGAGCCCTTGATAATTTATAAATTATTATTTTGCCATATCTTGCCCTGTCCAACGTCTCCCTTCACCCACTTTTCTGTTGTCCGTCCCCCAGGGAGGAGGTCACATATAGTTCCTTGTAATTGGTTCCCTCTTTCCAACCCACTCTCCCTCTACCCTCCCAGTATCACCACTCACACCACTGGTCCTGTAGAGATCATCCGCCCTGGATTCCTGTATTTTCAGTTCCTATCTGTACCAGTGTATATCCTTTGGTCTAGCCAGACTTGCAAGGTAGAATTCATATCATGATAGTGGGAGCGGGGAGGAAACATTTATGAACTAGAGGAAACTTGTATTTTTCATCGTTGCTACATCGCCCACTGACTGGCCCGTCTCACTGAATTTTTACGTGATATTTCTTTTTCTTGTAGATCTCTGCCATGGCCATTTAATAAACTCGTTTTCATTATTTAAAAATCATTAATATTTGTGAATGATGTAAAGTTGGAAGAAATATTAATATTTTAGATAACAACAGGATCCCAAATGATACTGATGTGTTCATGGAGAACTGATGCTGCTCCAATAAAAACTTTCTGATCCGTAGAATCTAAAATGAAATGGGTCACCTTTTAAGCTTGATTCCTAATTGTGTTTGTGTATACCCATGTATGAATGTGCACATGCACAAGAGTATGTCAAAATATATTGCTACCAGTAGTCTAGTTTTTACATAGGAGCCAGCCATGCATAGGATCCAGATGAATAGAAAAGGAGTGAAAATGTTAGTAATAATGAGTGAACCTGGAACTGAACTTACCATTGCTGTGATGGAGGAAGATGTGGCAACCTGCTTCCGTTAGGGTTATAACCTTAGAAACCCTGCGGGGCTGGCTGTCCTACTCTGTCCTGTGATCATTGTTGGTGAGGTGGTAAGAATTTTGCTTTATCTTTAAAACATTTTTAATGTGTGTGTATATTATATTAAACAATAAAAACACAAAGGGATTTTCCCCTAGGTCATTGGGTTCCTGGCTCTTATATTAGTGATTCTGTGATTTGGGACAAAAGGGGTTTGTTATGTCTTCTTGGAATTAGAATAGACTCTAAACTCCTAACATTAAAAATTATAGAAACAACTCCCTACTCAATTCTTCTAATATTTCAGCTGAATTGCCCTTATTTAGTTTATTTATTCTTAACAAAACAGGTGATGTGGTGACTCAAGGGAAGGCAGCTTTGGGTTTGGAGCAGTTGTTTAGCAGCAGGGTTCTGGGTTCTGCTTCTACACCATTTCACAGTTGGCATTTCTTTCTCGGGGCTGAAAACTTGCAAGATCAGCAGTTCTAAATCAACAGCTGCTCCAGGAGAGAAAGACGAGGTTTTCTATTCCATGAAGAGTTAGTCTCGAAAACCCAAACGGGCAATTCAACCTTGTGCTGTAGGGTTGCTATGAGTTGGAATTAACTCAATGGCAGGGTGTATGGAAACTTGTAAGTGTAATTATTACTCGGGAATGTTTTCTAATAATTGAACATGGGAAGGCAAAGATAAAGGATTGTGGGCGGTACCACTCTGGTCCCTCCTTTGATTTTGATATAGCAATCTCAGACTAGAGGACTTGACGTTAATGGCTTCTGATTCAAGGCAAAAACATCCACACTGCTCTTTATTCATGTGGTCCTTCCTAAGGCATGATTTCGTTTTGAGAAGAAAAAAGGTTTTCCTTTATACTGTTGTCTGTTAGGAAGAGCCCTGGTGGTGGAGCGATTGTGTTGGGCTGCTTAGCCCAAGGTCAGCAATCTGAAACCACGGATCGCTCTAGTGGAGAGTCTGGGCTTTCTACTTCCATAAAGAGTGAAAGTCTTGGAAACTCACAAGGGCAGTTCTCTCTTGTCCTGGAAGGTTGCTATGAGTTGGGCAGACTCAGGCATAAGTTTAGGCTTGAGCTTAATATTTACTATAGGGCTGTTTTTTCATTTCATCTGTATTGCCCTGAGTTTGTCCCTGTTGATGCGAACCCAGTTCAGACTGTCTCTTGAGAGCTGGGGTTGCCAGGAAATGTTTGCCTGAATGACTTTATCCATATCCCTTTTAAACAGTAAAACAACGGAGGGATGATCATATGAGTTGAGTCCTTGGACTACAGCTTTATAGTCTATAAGAACCACTTGCCTTTATTTTCCATGATGTCCTTCTCATCTAGAGGTGATTGTTTGGATTTTGTGTCTGTTACAAATTGGTGTCTAATTTAGTTATTATAGCAACTCTTCAGGAAAACGATTTGTTATCTCTTTCTCTCTCTTGCTTTTTTCCCTATCTGACATATCAGCTTGACTACCTAGGGGTAAAGAAAAAATAAAAAACACAGGAAAAGTTTATTATCATTTGGCATAGGAATCAACTAGAAAGTTATCAGGTCCATCCATATATTTATCCAGCTTTTGTTTAAATGCCTAATAAGTATGTGTCAAAGAATGTGCTAACTGCTTTAAATGTAAAATATATTTGAAAATGAGACTGAGTGACTATATAACTTGGAGGGGGAAAAAACAGGGAGATTGTTGCATTTACTTTTCTTTTTTAAGTTTCTGAGCAACAATCTCAGTTTGAAAATAGAATTAAACAGATTTTATTCTGATTTATAAAACTAACGTGCATGGTAAATTCAAACAAAATTTTCTGTTCCTAGCAATTGTATTAATATAAAATATACATAAATGCGATCATATATATGTTTGCATATTTTTTGGCCTGTTTTTTATTGTGGTTTTCTTAAGGATTTTAGCATCTCTTTCTTCCCCCCTCCCTCTCCATGGAACCCTTATAGCCCTGTGGTTAAGTGCTTGGATGCTGTAGTGCTTATGCAAATAATAGTATTTGGGACATTTCTTAGCCCACTTAGGTAAAGTCCCTGGTAGTGGTTACACATTGGGCTGCTGCAGGGTCAACAGTTTGAAACCACCAGTCCTGCTGCAAGAGAGAAAGACGGACAGGGCTATCTATCCCCGTAAACAGCTACATTCTTGGAAATTGACAGGGGTAGTTCCACCCTGTCCTACACAGTCACTGTGAGTTCAGCATTGACTCTATGGCCACGAGAATGGAAAGAAAGGTGAACAAATAGGGATAATATCAACCTTGTAACATTTGAAAGAGATGATTTTATTCCAGGGACTCAGTCTGAGTTCAAATCAGGAAGCTAATGAAATATCTGGAATTATGTAAAATTTAAATATCTGTACAGTTTTCTAAGGAAGGACTTAATGTGGTCCTCTGATTTTCAAAGGGTTTTATGACTCAAAAAATGGTACAAAACCATGAACTTATATGATGTTTAGTTGTCTTTTTATCTACATTTGTGTTGGTGGAAAATACACACAACTAAACGTTTCTTTGCTTAATCTTGGACATGCCTGAAATCTCAGGAGCAGTACTTCAGGAGAGAAAAAGAACATGACATTTTTCCCCATACCACTTCACAACCTCTTTCTCCCTCCAAACTCGTGCATGTATGAGTTGGTGCACATACCAAACAAACAGAAAAACCACACCCGCCTGCCTCCGAAAACACTTATAAATTCATTGTTTACTGCTTTCAAAGCATTTCCTCCACTATTTTACCAGAGATGATTGACTGTTTTGTTAACTTAAAACAAACTTTTAATTTTTCCCCAGTCTGAAAACCTGACACTGGATCTTATGTGTTCTTTCTTCTGAAACTGAGAGAGAATGACAGCAATAAATTGATGCTTTTGAGCAACTGAACTCATGGAGGACTTAAGAGGAGGAGTCAGAGATTCCTGGAGCGGCCAGGATTTGAGGAGCCAGCTGAGTAGTGAAGAATGTAATCTTCCCTCTCTCTGATCTGTCTGGGCCAGGACAAGGACACATGCATAGAAATGGCAATTAGTTAGAGGGTCACTTATGTTCAGGTTAAACTTCCACGAGGGGTATGACAATTAAGCCTTAACCTCTCTAAGGAAGCGTTTAGGCTTTGCCTGTCTTTTCTCATACCCACTCTTCTTATGTGCAGGTGGATGGAAGCATGCCTTGGGGAAGACCTGCCGCCCACCACAGAACTGGAGGAGGGACTGAGGAATGGGGTTTACCTTGCCAAACTAGGAAACTTCTTCTCTCCCAAAGTGGTTTCTCTGAAAAAAATCTACGATCGAGAGCAGACCAGATACAAGGTGAGTCTTTTCTTTCTAAATGTTATAATGTCAGTAAACTTGAGATAGAGTGGCATACTTCAGAGTGGCAGCTATTGAGAAATGCCTGTAAGGTGTGTATAGTTTTAAAAAAATTAAAATGATACTAATAGCAATGATAACATTACCTGAGTGGAGAGAATAGTGTAAAATCTAGATATGGCAGTGAAATAATTTTAGCTGTTTGTATTTCTGGATGAATTATGACAGCATGTCCAAACATTTTCATAGACCTTGATGCATTTATTTTTTAAATGTCAGAGGAACTAACCAAAGAAATGACTACTTTAAATATAGTTTTCACTAAGAATTGAGATTTGTTGACCAGTTGGAAGCACTGGCAACTTTTGGAGTAAAGACCACCCTGTGAAATTAGAAGTCAAGGTAAAATGGGAAAAGCTATTCAGTTTTAGAAAATTGAGATTAGTGTGAGATGGAGTTTGAGTTTTATGATCCAAGGTCCAGGAAAAGACCATTTAACAAAATTGGGATATTGACAATAACTAATTACTTTTGTCTCTAGAGCACCCTAGGAAGGTTTACCAGTATGCTCTGATTTGAGAAAAGATGAGCATAGGCGATACTGGGAGGGTAGAAGCGATACTGGGGAGGGTAGAGGGAGAGTGGGTTGGAAAGGGAACCGATTACAAGGAATTATATGTGACCTCCTCCCTGGGGGACAGACAACCGAAAAGTGGGTGAAGGGGAGATGTTGACAGGGCAAGATAGGAAAAAATAACAATTTATAAATTATCAAGGGCTCATGAGGGAGGGGGGTTGCGGGGAGGGAGGGGAAAAATGAGGACCTAATGATGGGGGCTTAAGTGGAGAGGAAATATTTTGAGAATGATGAGGGCAATGAATGTACAAATGCGCTTTACACAATTGATGTATGTATGGAATGTGATAAGAGTTGTATGAGCCCCTAATAAAATGATTTAAAAAAAAAGGTGAGTATAAAAGATAGTGGAAGACTCACCAAGAGCAAATGTAAAAACTGGGTCAAAATTTAGAAGGAGTTAAGACATGAAAATAGAGCCAAAAGAAATATTTATGTATTCTGTTTAAATTCAGAGGAAAACCTGTAAACTGTAGTCCTAAGCCAAAGTTAACATTCTAAATAGAAAAAAAATTATAACTAAGAAGCAAATACTTATATGCTAAGTTTTAAATAGAAAGGTTATTCTGAAAACAACTTTGATGTTGTTCTGCTGAAAGTTTACAGGATGTGTGACAAAATAGCATGATGTTAAAGTTAGAATAGAGACTTCACAGTGACCAAAGGATAGAGGGAGAAAGAAATCCATTTCAACTGAAAGTGAATCTTGTTAAAAAATAGTAGACAAAACTTTAGAAGGGAATGTTTGTGAAGTATGAGAGGTCTGGGTGGTGTATTTGGTAATACTATTTGTGAGCATCTTCTGCCTTGCAGGTACCACACTGAGTACTTTATGTACATTATCTCATCAAATCCATACAGCAAACATTTGAAGTAGATGATACAGTTCACTTAATTGTGCTCATAAAGAACCTACCTGTACATAGGCCAAGAGACAGCTATTGAAACAGAACAAGGGAATGCTGTGTGGTTTAAAATTAGGAAAGATGTGTGTCAGGGTTCTATTCTTTTACCATACTTATCCAATCTGTATGCTGGGCAAGTAATCTGGACTGAATGAAAAAGAATACATCATCAGGCTTGGAGGAAGACTTATTAACAACCCGTGATATGCAGATGACACAACATTGTTTGCTGAAAGTGAGGAAGACTTGGAGTACTTACTGTTGAAGATCAAAGACTATAAAATTCAGTATAGATTAAACCTCAACAGAAAGAAAACAAAAATCCTCACACCTCCACCATTAGACATCATGATAAACGAAGAAATGATAAAAGTTATCACGAATTACATTGTACTTGTATCAACCATCAATGCCAATGAAGATAGCAGTCAGTAATGCAAACAGCATGTTGCATTGGGCAAATCTGCTGCAAAAGACCGTTCTAAAGTGTTAAGAAGGCAAAGATATCACTTTGGAACTATGTTTGCCTGGCCACTGTATGGTGTTTTCAGTTGCCTCCTATGCAAATAAAAGGAAATACATAAGGAAAATTGAAGAGGAATGTTGCATTAAAATTATGGTTTTAGTGAAGAACATTGACTATGATGTTGACTCCTAGAAGAATGCAAGAATCTGCCTTTGAAGAAGTACAACCTTTCTTAAGAATGTTCTGTAGAAGTGAAGTTGGGAATTCTCATGTACTTTGGACATGTCATCAGGAAAGACCAGCCCCTGGAGAAGAACTTCATGATTGGAAAAGTAGAGGGTCAGTGAAAAAGAAAGTTCTTCAATAAGATGGATAGACATAGTGGCTGAAACAAATGGACTCAAACATAGCAGTGATTGTGAGGATGGTGTAGGACCAGGCATCACTTGGCTTTTTTTGTACCTGGGGTTTCTACTAGTTGGGACCTATTTGGCAGTATCTAACAGCAACAGAACACGTATTCACCTGAAGAAGCTCAGAAGAGTGAAGAGACTTTCCCAGAATTGAGTCCAAGTCAATTTAAGTCTAAAAACCACACCACATTCCCTTGAGTATACACAGGAAAATTCTCTACGGAGCTGAGAATGAGGGTTTGAATTCTTGGGATTGGAATGTAAACAATGCTATAAACGTTAAATTTAAGGTCAAGGGAACTTTTGGAATTAGTTTTTATTTCCTATTTGCTGCAATGTAGCCAACAATGCCTAATGCCCCTTTATTTGTTCTAGGCAACTGGCCTCCACTTTAGACACACTGATAATGTGATTCAGTGGCTGAATGCCATGGGCGAGATTGGATTGCCTAAGGTAATTTATATGATATTCATCGTTCTGGCTTACTTCTTGCTGTTTTAATAAAACAATCTCATTCTACCTCTACACTTATTTTCTGTTGGAATCGTAGGTCATTAAAAAGTATACATTTAGACTCTCTCACTCACTCCTCTCACACACACACTCACTCACTGACTCACTCTCACCCACTCTC